TCATGGAGGCAAACCTACCCTTGGACTCACGAATTGATATGCGGGCAGCACATTTCCTTTCAAAGGTCATCCAGGTACCCAGGAATACAAGCACGAGAGAAAAAAATAGCTAGACGCCTAGAACAAGATCACAAGCTCTTTGCAAACAACTGGCTGTCACACACAGCCAGGGTGTTGATATAGGAGGGTGGGGGGGTCTACATGTAGATGCACATATATCAGAAGGCTGAAGTGAGTTGATTTTACTTATTTAGACCTTGTCAACCTCTTATTTGGGTTTTGTCTAATTAGCAGCATAAACAGTGTTTTTTCATAAGAAACGTTTAATGGTCAGTAGCATTGCTTCCACTTCAAGGGGTACTGGAGTATAACAGCTTCTTCTAAAGTGCATTTGCTTACTTCCATACCTCCTAGTTCTATGGTTTGTAAATATTAAAAATCTACTTTCCCCTTTTAAGACCATTCACCACCACTCTGCCTAGTTCTTTAAATGCAGCCTGACCATCAAGGGAGCCGTCCATCAGCAAGTGGCAGACCTAGTGAGAGGAGTTTATTGTTACAACTACATCAGGTGAAGATGAAAACACAAAACATGTTTAATTATCTCTTTTTATTTGTCCATCAAAAACACTCTTGTTATGTCTGACATCTGCTCTTTCTCAAGTTGTTTTGAGATGGAAACCTGAATTACTGAGTTTCCTGCTTGGAGAATGATCAAATACTGTGAGTGGGAGAACACACAATACTGGTTGTAGCAGGAGGCCGGAGTACAGTCAACAGGAGGCAAACATTTGACTGATAATATTCCTGGTCAACCTTCCTTGTAGCTAAAGGAAGTGGTGAGCTGGGTGTGAACCTTGAATGAAGGAATTTACTTTAAAAGTTCAATTAAGGAAAGACTACTGATTTTGAAGTCACTCAAAATACCATAAAACATCCACTGCTGTTTTTCTTTTTTTTTTCTTTTTTTAGCAATCAATGGAAGAAAGTTATTGGACAGAAACCATTTCCCTTCCATTAACTGTATCTCGGCCACTTCTGAAATACTGACTACCAGGATGGGCTGAAGAAGAACATGGATCTCGCGATTGCCCCTTCTTGTATTCGTAATTCCTGCATTTCATCATCATCGTTAAGGATTGCTTTATTCTGAGGCAAAGGTTGTGTATATGATAAGCACATGAATACTCTTTTTAAAAGAAAAGGAAATCATTCATCATCCTAATTAATGCAGTGACTCACATAGCAATGGTGTGGCTGAGAAAGATTGGAGCCGGTTCTGAAACGCAACCTACTCAAACTGTAGAATATCTGATGCTGAGAATTAATCATTATGGCACGTACAATTCGAGCAAATGTGAAGATGCGATGGATTCTTTCATTCATTTTTCAAAACCATAAGAAAAAACTATTTTGTCTTTTCTTTATTATCTGTTTAGTCATCTCCAGATGAAGCTCGTCTCTAAGGTAGTCAAATACCTTACTAAACCTCTCTGAGCTTGTAACTGCTTTTCCTCGTTACTCTCAATTTGTAAAACAAACATCATAAAAGTCTATTGTGTACTGAGACAAAAAAAACTCACCTACATTTCTGCGCAACAAACCAATTTGTTAATAAAAATATCAGTTGCTAAAAGCAATAAAAAAAGAAAAAGTGGGTATTTCCTAACAAAAAAAAAAAAAGTAAATTCTAAACTACATGCAAACATAATTGCAATGATCAGTGGAGTAACACCAATAAAAAAGAAATATAAATTAAAATATTTGAAAATATTTGAAATATTTGAAAGAAAAATAATTCCTTTTTTCACTCCAGAAGTTAAGTTATCTTCACTCAACATACCAACCATACCTTTAGACAGTCTAAATTGAAGAAGCTAAACAAATTTGAGTATACTTTTTCACTTTTGAAATCATATAATTTACTAACAAATACAAACATTCATCACTTGTATATGAAGATACACATATACATAACAAACATTAACTTAAAAGCCAGGAAACAAAAATGTACATAGACATTTGACACACCAGCTCTCTCATTAACAAAATATGACAGCTTATTGTATTCAAATTAGAAAGACACAACTTAAAAAAGCCAATACACGTGCGTACAGACATACTTACATACACAGTCACACTTTCCATTATTTCTTTCATACTGACACACTCATAAGAGAGAAGAAAAGAGATCAGTTTTTCTTGTCTCATTAAAAAAAGTGTTTACTCTTGTATGACTGGAAAGTGATGTTTTATTACTAAAATAAAGTCATTTCCTTCGGTTGATGAACGAAAAAATGTAAACTTTTTAAGTAAAAGGCCTTTTTCTAGTAGTAATGGAACTACTTCCATCCTAGTTTCATTTTAAAATAAAAATATAGATTTCTATCAGATGTGAGAGAGGAGAGGAGAGAGTGGGGAGAGAACAGGAGAGAGGGAAGAGGAAATTGAAGAGGAGAAAGGCAAGACGAAAGAACAGACAAGAGCCGAGAGGTGGAGAATATGAAAGAGGAGAAAGGAATAGGATATGAGAGGAAGAGAAGGGGAGGACAGGAGAGTAGAAAAAAAGGGAAGGGGAGAGGTAGAAGAGACACGAAAAAGGAGTGTTAAGGAAAGTTGATGAGAAATGATTGAAAAGATGGAAGAAAGAAAAGAAAATGGAGGGCACACCACACCCTCTCTTGCATGTTTTCCATCTAAATAAATTTTTTACGTAAAAAAAGGGGGGGCTTCTTCTTCCTCATTGTCCACATGACCATTGTTAAGGACACACTGCCGCAGCACAGCTTCTGGCTCAGTTAGGCTTCCTTCTTGTTGGACACTGGTGGAGCCCACAGGTCACCGGTGTGGCCCGAGCCAGGTGCCGACCAGATGTTGTTGTCCGAGTGGAAGGGGTCAAAGCCCAAGCCCTTGGACACGGCTCCGTTGGCATCACTCATCACAGGGGGCGTTGAGGCCTTGGGAAGTGAGGAGGAGCCCCATGGTGAGGGTGTGTTAGGCGGGCATGAAGTTCCCTGATTGGACCAGAAGGGGGGCGACCAGATATTGGAAAGGGAGTCCCACAAGCTCGGCGGTGGAGTGCTGTTGGCATTCATACCCATGTTGTTATTGTGGTAGGTGCTGCCATCTGACCACAGCGAGCCCCCTACCTGTGGGTTGCAGTACTGCCAGTCCTCATCTGAAACCAGAGAGACTTGTCAGTATGAAAGAAGGCTGAAATTTGGAATTCAATTCTTATATATTGGGTAATTCTAGAGTAGATAGCTTTTCAAGCTACAATAAATCCATTCCTACGACTGAGTTAAGGAGTGGAAGAGAAGGAAAGGTCAAAAGAGAAAATGTAAGAGAGGGTAGATAGACAGCTCCATTAAATGGGGGAAATGCATCCTAGTCCAGCCTTACCTGTGAGAGGGCCATGATGCCGCACAAATTCATGTGCCTGCACAAGCCCTGGGGGCGGCCTCATGGCAGGCACTGTGAGAGTCTTGGGGTCCCACGAGTGGCTACTGTTATTGTTCTGTGAGCCAGACAGTGCAGCATTGTCACCAAAGCCACTGTATAGGCTGCGTGAGTAAGCCTCCTCCTTGAGCCGATGCGAGTAGTTGTTGTCAGGAATAGTGAAGAGCGAGTTACTGGACAGTGGTGGGACGGCTGCACTTGTCACTGGGTTGGATGTGCTGTGCAAGCCACCCATGCCACTGCTGTTCGTGCTGTTGCCTCCATTGCCCGCCTTCTGGCCAATGACACCCAGGGGCTTTTCAATCTTTTTCATCTCCGGTGGCACCTTGATGAAGGGCGTGACTTTAGCTTTCTGCAACAACATATGGTAACCACAGTTTCACAAGTGAAGGTTTTGATCACTGACATTAGGTAAATAACAAGAGACAATACAGATGTCATATACAACTGAAATAATATAAGGCTCAACAACACTGGCTGTTAATACAGACAATTCCCAAAATGTTTACTGGCAAAATTAAATCATCAAGAAGCTACTAAAGAGGCAGGTACATGCTGTATAATCACTATGCCCCACCTGCTTGTCAGTGCCGAGCAGAATGGCAGAGTAAGACGACTCCCTTGGTGCAAGTGGTTGTGGTTGCGTCTGAGGTTTGTTGTGGGTCGCCAGCCCTGACGTTGATGCTGACGTGGCCGATGTGCCATCTCCTGATGCTGACCTCGACTCATCCCACTTTGGCACTGGCGATGACCCTGTGCTGCCCATACTCTCACCTGAATCTTTATTCTGCAATGAAGGACCCAATGGTTGAGGACTTGCAAAGAGGATTTACATTTTAAACATGCATATAAAATGCAAATGCATGACACAAAAGGCTGAAGACATACAGAAGGACAATAATCTTACTTATATTCCCTATCGCATTTGTTTATAAATGGTGCAAATAAAGATGATGAATATAGTTTCATGAGAGATATCTCCTTAAATCTCCCTCATATCCACACATCCCAAATCTACACACCTGCTCAAACAGAACCACAAAAAAATAACAAATAAACATGAATGAATTAAATTCTACAAAAAATAACTACTAAAAATGGCCAAAAAAATGTGCATATGTGCAGCTCACTTTATTGGTGGTACCCTTTGGGTTCCTGTGGTTCTCCTTGGGGCGGTCCGAGTCCTTCTGGCGGACGTGCTTCAGTGTGTAGGGCAGCTCCAGTGTATTTGGCTGGTAGATGTCACCACCAAAGTTGCTGCGCCCTGACGACTCCTTTAGCTTCTTCAGCCCCTTAACCTTTGTGCTGATCTCGAAGCCCAATTCATCATCTAGCACGCTGCTCGCAACCTGCCCAGTCTCCACACTGGAGCCCTTGCCTCCCTTGGCCCGCACACTGCGCCGCTTGTTTGCCTTTCCACTCGTCCCGCTCGCTGACGCCACATCTGACGATTTGCTCAAAGGCGTGTCCTGGAGAACGAGGAGGAGACATGAATTAGGAAAATAAGGAGGAGAATGTAGGGAGAAACAGAGGAATGGTAAAGGATGAAGAGGAGGAGGTACAAGAGGTGAAAAATCATAAGAGAAGAGCAAGAATTATAAAATAACGTACTTCTCAAACTAAGATTGAAAGGAATAAATCACAAGAGTAATTGTTGTAACTCAGTGTTATTGCCCACTTGAATTAAAAGCATATCTAGAGTAATTTCTTAAAAACACTTTTCAAAAGACTGCCTTTGTCTCCCTCAGATAGTACAAATCAGAACATGGTCTACTGCTTTTCCCTGAAAAGAAACCAAGGTTGACCATGTACTTACCCTTTCACTTATTGATAATTCATCTGTGTTGGAACTCTCAGTTGTTGTAGAGGAAGTCTCCTCCTCGACGCTTGGCTTGGTGCGTCTTCTGAGCTTGGAGCAGTTTTCGATGTGCAAATCTGTCTCAGTGCCGACCGATTGCTTGAGGACAGATGCCTCTTCTTTATTTCTGGTGTTAGGTGACTTCTTGGGATTGGCTGGCTCGCTCTTGGCCGTTGCCGCCCCTATCGCACTGTCCTCCTTTGCACTCACAGCTCGCGAGAAGAAGCTGCGCCACGACATTGGCGACTCTGAGCTTCTACTGCTGTTGCTTTTGTTATTATATCCTTTGGATTTCCTATTCTGGTTCTGATTTGCAGAAATGTCAGATATAACAGAGATGCTTTCTCCAGACGCTGGACCTAACTTAGAGTCAGACTGTTTTGTGTATTTGGATTTTGTACTTGAACTTGTGATCTGATTATTGCCAACCTTTTTAGAAGAGCTGGCACCTGAGGCGGACTTTCTACCATTTGCAATGATCTCACCCGTGGATGACGGAGCTGTGGATTTCTTGTTGCTAGACCCACTGCACACAGGACTGCTTGCCTTGAGGCTCTCCACCTGAGCATGGCCATTGGCATAGCCATTCTTCAGAGGTGCACCTTTGGAGTCGTGATGCGCAATGTTCTTCAAGTCAAACACTTTGGACTTGTCAAAGGCTGGCGCATGTCCATTGGAGGGCACGGAGGTTGTCATGGCAATCTTGGTAGACCTGAGGATGTGGTCTGCCTCAAGCGCCGCCAGGATCAAGGCCCCAATCAGCATGGCCGCCATCAGAGGTAAGATTGCATAATAGAGGAGGGGCTCCCATGAGGGCCTGGGCACAGCAGCTCCGCATTGTGCGAGCAGGTGGGTAGGGACGGTAGCAACCAGGGAATATTCAACTCGGCCCGGCTGCGCCTGGCTCTCACTCGGCGCCGCAGTCTCCTCCTCGGGCCCGCTCACCAACCCAAGGCTGGTGTGAATGACTAGCCGTTGTTGTACCTTGGACAGGGTAAAGTCAGGAGTGAACGCGATGTCCACCTTATGACTAGCGTTGGGGGCTAGCTCGAAGCCTTCACAGTTCAAAACTTTGAAGCCATAGCCCTCACAAGGTAAGTCATTGATGTTGAAGCCCCACACCTGGACGGGCAGTTCACCAGTGTTGCGCGCCGTAAAGGAACGCTTCACCGTGAAGTTTGGTTGGTAATATTTTGAGCTTCTGCCATCTGTGGGACAAAGGTTACTTTTAGCTGTGGGGTTATAGGTGCATTGTCTTCCTACAATTAATCTATCTCCAATTCATGTCAATGACAATGAACTTGATTTTAAAACATTATCAGAGTAAATTGTTCTATGTCATTCACAACAAATCAGACTGAAAATAAAATAAATGGCTTGACAAAAATCAAAAGGCCTCCTGATCTAGATACATCAAAACAAAGCTTCGAGGATGTATTTGGTGATTTGTTTTAAACAACAGATATGGGTCACAAATAAAATGAAAACTCAGGCAACAAGTACTTACTATCACAGTCTTTCAAATGTTTGGCCCCAATATTGAAGGCAAGAGGCATAGCCGAGCCAGGTTTTCTGTTGGCAAACTTAAGGAAACCTCTCCCCCCTCTGCCCTTCACCAACACTTTGTCTATTACTGTCAGGTTGTTGCGCACTAACAACACTGTCGAGTACAGCTTTTCATCTGGCGGTGTGAATGACACTCTCACTTTCACCTGGTAAGAAAAAGTCAAAGGTTAAATTGATATACAGGATTAAAACAAACACACACATACATAAACTTCATATTTTTTTGCAATAATGACTGCAATAATACTGGCAAAACCAGCATCCTATGTAACACCTCGCCTTGACTATGAAGGGGAAAGTGCAATCTCATGTGGACCCCTTCCAAACCTGAGCCCCTCCCAGCCAACAGCCTCTCTTCCCCTTCCATTACCTTGACACCCGGCTCAAGGATGAGTGCGATGCTGTCTTTGGCAACGCGCGTCTTGAACTGCTCCTCCAGCGTCCTTCTGTGCTGGGCCAGGCCGCTCGTTATTTCAGGGGCAGGCGGAGGCATCGAGCTTCCTCTGGCTGTAGTCGTGCCGCCCCCTGCGGCCAGGCTGTCACCGTCCACCAGCGTGAACACATCACTGCCAGCCCCACTGCCGCTCTCATTGAGCAGCATCTCACCCGTTGGTAAG